TGTTCCATTTAAAAAAATTAATGTGACCTTGACCTGACCTTCGCTACGCAACCCAAGGTCAAACTGATGTGATCAGTAAATACATCTTTTTAAACGCCACAACTTTTGTCTGAAACATTTTTTTGTAAAACTTATATTTTTCCTGATATTCGGGCGTCCCGGTACTTTCCACCCTGTATATTATATTATATCATATCACATGTATTAGCGTTTAAGTTATCTATACTTGACGTTCAGTCGTTGATAATGACTCATTGATTAACAGCGTTTATAAAAGAGCAAAGTGTGCTGTAGAATATAGTCTGCGAACCAGAGTGATTTCATGCATTCATTTTCATTGTAACTTTTAATATGTATTAATTAGGTAAATTTATGTGAAATAGTAATCAATTCTGAACTCGCTTTCTCAAACCGGTACAAGTAATCGTTTATATTGAAATAACTGACTTCGAAATCAGTGCGTGAATTGGTTTAAGCAATAATTTAGGTCACACAAAATAGTACTCCTTTAAATGTTACGGTTATATGTCATATTATGTATGTATATATATATATATATATATATATATATATATATATATATCGTGGATGTTCATTTACGAATCTTTTTTAATTAATATCTCGACTATTATTGCGAATATCGTAAAACGACACAGGACTTTCTTGCTCACCTCAATCCATTCTACGTTCTCACCAAGGGTCATCATGGAGATTCGGGACATCCTGTATATATATATGTAACATATACATATAACAAATGAATGTAACCATTTAATATAGTCCAAACAGTTACTTAAATCGTATCACGTATTAATTTCAAAATATGTTATTCAATAGGTGCATCTAGTATTACAACCATTCATTGAGCGCTGAGTAAGCTTCTGCATCTGATTGGTATATATATTTAGATCTAAAGGAATATGCCAATTGGATGCAAAAACTCATTGAGCGTTCAACGAGCACTACTGAATGCACCTAATGTAACGATTACTTATAGTGAGTACAAAAATCGAGTTTAGAATTGATTACCATTTCGCATAGTCCTAATATTAATAAAGGCAAATGTGACATTTTCACTTCTCATCGGTGTGCAAAGTGTATATTTGTTCATTAATAATACGTATCTAAAGATTGTCTTCATATCTATATTTGGTGAGTATTGCAACAATATTTTGCTATAAACAAACATGCATGTACGACGAGATCCATATTTTAATTCAGCTTGTTTCGCAAGCGATGCACTTTCCGGCCGATTTTCAGGAAGCTTTGTCTCGCATTAGCCCGTATTAAGCTTGGAACACAATACGTCGTATGTTGGAGTTGGATGTCGGAACGCAGCCGATGGTCCAATAAGGAGAATTCATTCTAGAAAAATAAATTCTCTCATTGGACCATCGGCTGCGTTCCGACATCTAACTTCGACATACGACGTATTATGTTCCAGGCCTTATATTACCAACTGCAAAGACCGACCCGACTGCCGATTACGACTGCCAACTCTAGTCAGTCAATCACACTTGTCGACGTCTGCTGATGTCTAACGCCAACTGATCATATTAGTTATTATATAACTGATGAAGTTTTATAAAGAATAAGATCGCACAATACTTATTACAAGAATAAATTTCGTCTGATAGGACCATGGACATAAGATACATGGACGGAGCGAAAAGTGCATGGACGTGGGGCTGTGAAGTCCAAGGGGCAAGAGGATTACATGTTCGTGCCGGAGTTTGTATCTATTTTCATTACCATCGCCATCTTGGTACCGCAACTCCATTACAATACATACAATCATTCTCCTCATCCCTTGGGCTCCACTCTCGCGACAATTCGCTCCGTCCATATATTCTTACGTCCATGGATAAAACATACATCAATAAATATGAACTTTTCTAAAAAAAACCTAAATGAGTGAAGAATTTCAAAGCAAAGAAGTTAGCTACTTCCTTGTATTTATTGATCATGATAGAAGAAATGTCACGACACAAGCAAAGATTTTTTCCATTGTAATAAATCGGGCTTTATCCCTCTTGCTTTGTCGACCCATATGAACCCTATGAGTCATGCTTGTTTTTATCAACTTTGGTTAAATTAACTGGCTGGTTATTCCAACAGAATGGACCAATCGCATCTTTTTATTCTGACAAAGAGAAGTACGATTGGTTAATTTCGTTGAAGTAACCAACTGGTTAAGTTAACCAAAGTTGATAGAAACGGATATCAATGCAACTTTCTTGATCCTTCGTAATTATATACCACGAAGTATCTGTTATATGTATGTTTCCTGGATCTCAAAATAATATGGGGAATATGTCATGAAAGATATATGTGGAACATGTAATTTCAACGAGGCGAAATATATTTTTTTTTCATATACAGCAAAAAGTGCTGCACTATAATACTTAAATGCAATACTCTGGCAAAAAAAGTTTATAGAGAACGATAGAATAAAATAATCATTTTCTATCGTTTTGAATATGGATTTTGATTTGTGAATTTACAAAATGTGAATAGTATTCTGTCGTATACAATAGAATACAGTAGATACCCTTATAGAAATATCATATTAAGAATCATTGATAATTACTTATTTTCAGTATTAAAAATACTAGATAATAAGTAATTATCAGTGATTCTTAGTATGATATTTCTATAAAGGTAGTGATAGAATTTCTATCCCAGTAAGCAAATTGAGCGCAGACTGCGCGCAAATTTGATAAAAAATTTACACCAAAACCATAGCCATCTGTGTCCTCATTCAGCTACGGTTTTGGCGACAGATCTTGCTGTCAGGAAATTGCTGCAGATTTGCAGCAAAAATTGTGCAGAACATGCAGCGCAGCAAGGTCTGCGCGGTTTTGCCGCCAATCTGCCGTCAGATTGCTACAAACTCTGCACGGTTTTGCTGCAAATATGCAGAAATTATCCGACAACAGGCTCTGTAGCATATCTGTGCATATGTGCATATTTGGCATATCTGTGCTCTGTGCATATCTGGCGACAGTTTGGCAGCAAGATTTGATATAACAGATCTTGCATCAAATTTATTATCTATTTGCCATCAAAAATTGGTAGCAAGTTCTGCTCGAAATCTGTTGGCGCAAGTTTGGCTATTTGGGTATTATTAGTTTCCTATAGAATACAAAATCGTGTATAATCAGATAAAATACGATAAAATGCGATAGGATTTATATCTAAACTTGCGAACGAGAACGCAATCAATTGATAGCGCTTAATTTGAATCGTTTTCTTTAAGCTGTATCGTTCTCGCTCGCAAGTTCAGATATGAATCCTATCGTATTTTATCGTATTTTATTTAGTTACATACGATTTTGTATTTTATAGAAAACTAATGATAGAAATTCTATCACTATGTATTTTATCGTATACGATAGAATACTATTCATATTTGGGAATTTATGAGCCAAAATTCATATTCAAAACGATAGAAAACGATAGAATTTTATTCTATCGTTCTTTATAAACTTTTCTTACCAGGGGTACTATTCCGTACACGCTTACCGACAACTGTCGGATCGGTAGACGTCGTTGCGCAGCTTTTTTATACTATAGAAAAGCTGCGCAATGACATTATCCACTACCACTACCCCAGGGCAGTCACAGCATTTATATATCATATTTTTGCAAATCTATAGTAACACTCGTGATAATAATGCAGAAAACAAGCAAAAAATACTTTCTTTCATAAATATTGCGTCTGCAAAATAAAATATGTTGAAATAGTATGCGCTTACACGATTGGTGCGGTACATGGTTATGCGTGACAATTATATTTATATAAGATTTTTTGCATGCCTATTTGCGAAATCTGATTCTGTAGCACCCTTCAAAATAATGCAGGGAACGAACAAGAAATGCTTTTCGTCATAAATATTGCGTCTGCTAAATAAAAATATCCGAGCAGTACGCGCTTGCACGACTGCCCTTATAGAAATATCATACTAAGAATCATTGATAATTACTTATTTTCAGTATTAAAAATACTGGATAATAAGTAATTATCAATGATTCTTAGTATGATATTTCTATAAGGGTGGTACGGCACATGGTTATGCCCGACAATTATATTTATGTATTTTCCCACATCTGTTTGCAAAATGTAGCTCTATAGCACCCTTCAACCCAGTAAGCAATCTGCGCGCAGACTGGCGACAGGATCTGTCGAATTCGAGTAGGATCTCTCGACAGATTCATAGACATCTGCGTCCCCAATCTGCCGTCAGATTGTTGACAGGGTCTGCGAACAGATTCTGACGACAGATTGGCGGTAGATTGCGCGCAGAGCCTGCCGACAGACTCTGACGGCAGATTGCGCGCAGATTGCGTGCAGATCCTGTAGGTTCTTTAATTAAATTTTTGGTAGAAAATTTTCTCATAATTTTTCATAATTACTCATAAAATAAGCGCTTTCTCATAAATATTCATAAATACTCGTAAAATACAATGAAAAAAGAAGTTTTTCTATATTATATTTTCATAATTTTTAAGATTTTCTCTGGTGAGATTCGAACTTGAACCGAAGACATGTTTTGGATAATCGTCCGTCGCCTTAGACACTACGCCAATTCCTCACTTGATAAAAAGCGCTTT